AGAATGTCTGAGTCTAGGAGTTAAGCGAGTCCAAACAGTTGTCGACATAGAATCTTACTAGAATCAGTGTTCTCATGCTGTGCATATTCCCTTTGTGGAGTTCTACTTCTCGCAAAATCTTCATTGCCATTTTGAACTTGCTAAATTCGTACACTGTGACTATAATGCTTATTCCCATGGGTATTGCAATAGAATGTTTCCGTATATTTTGTTCTAAACAGTCAGCCGACGGTTTTTATGAAAATGAACAATAATAAGAAAACAAGAACATTACCCCCCCCCCCCCCCGCCCCCACCAAAAAAAAAAGGGATGAGGCAGAAGGAAAAGCAAATAGAAATAATGATATTATGTTATGAAAGCGTAAGGTGGCTTGTGTGTAAAAACTGTTCAATGGTAATAAATTTCAGTGATCGTGGCGGTCCCAGACAAGTCACAAAATGGAGCCCAGTGATAAGTGTACACTATTTTATTAACCCACTACTTAGACGGTCCATCATAAACTAACGATGCTTAATATTTACCAATACTTAACACAGTTTCACGTCGCTTTTTCTAACATACCTGAGGAATTGATATGTAGTCTAAGCCAGGTAAAATAGAACGTGTCGTTCAAGGAAACCGTCACGGTCTCCAGGCCTAGATTACACCGAGTGTCTGGGAAGTCATAAATCCAATCTGGTGTAGACTCTGTTGTGTTTGTTGTCACCAGATCCACTAAAAGATGCGGAAGATAAGGCACACAAAAAAAATGTAATCAATATACATAAATTAAAAATAACCATAAGTTAATTTTCTACGCCTTCTGTTTATCTCCCAGTCAGACATAGGCCCTCATCGAACTGGCACCAGGTGTCCTTTGCTTTTGCAAGGAGGTCATCCTATTTTTTCAATTTGCTTATCTTTTTTTTTTTTTTTTTGGTCCGACTATATTTCCTAGACTTTGTGTATTCAAGAGCAATTAAATTCTACTTCCTTGTTATCACATGTCTTCAATCCAAAGCGATAATCTTATCCACGCCACTAGATTCGCTGCGAATAGTGTGCTCTATCAGACTCACATTTCATCAAATCTTTTATTTATCTAATTTTTTTAGTAGTTAATAGGCATCTCCATACATACTCTCTCTCTCTCTCTCTCTCTCTCTATATATATATATATATATATATATATATATATATATATATATGTGTGTGTGTGTATGGGTGTGTGTGTGTGTGTGCATGTATTATAATTATTGGAAAAAAAGGATTTCAAGAAAGAGGGGGAAAAACAGTATTATGAAACAATGAGCAATGAATCACGTGACACTAATTATGTGTATATTAACATCTTTAGCGAGGAACTTTGATAGCTCGGCGAATCGCAGACTTGTTTGCCGACTCAAAAGGATCTGCGTCTGAATTCCACTCAAGTGGGTTCTTCTGATAGGGCTACCAAGATGATTCTGTCTAAACTATGACAATATCTTCAAAACATTTTTAACAAATGTACACAGGCTAGAATGATATCTCTTATTAAGTCCGGGAGCTGACAATAAAAGTGGTGTTTATTCTAACTCGTAGACTGGCTTGTATAAATGAAGATTCAGATCAGGATCATATAACTTTTCTGTCCATAATATTTTGGTGTGTGGAATAATGAGTAGACTGATCGATTGGCTGATAACGCTTCCTTAGACGACAGGCTACTCTATGACACGATTCGATGTAAGGGAAGATGATTTGAGTAAGTAATGTTTGAAATCAGAGATACCAAAAACAAACAATAAAAGAGTGTGTTCTTTGGACACACACAAATTAGAGTTAATAGTTTATTAGTCGTTACGGTGCCGGCATCACGACAAACGAGCTTGGCGCTTAATTGCTCGACCGCCATTGCGAGTGATTTCAGTCACAAACTAAGTCAGATACATCTAGTAAATGCAGTAGCCATTCAAAGTGCCCTCAGTCAGCAAAACCCCCACGATTTGATCTGGCAAACCCTACGGTGCATGCTTCCGCACACTCTGCGAGACCAGGCGTCATCGCTGAAAATCAACTTCATTCGACGAATAGCTGGGCGATGAGTAGATTAAAATTATTTTATATTGTCGCGCAGTTTTTGGTTGGCATTTTGTTGTGCAGTTTTTGGTTGGCATTTTGTTGTGCAGTTTTTGGTTGGTATTTTGTGGTCGTGCAGTTTTTGGCTGGCATTTCATTTGGTGCGGAATTCTGTGTGTGTGTGTGTGTGTGTGTGTGTGTGTGTGTTTGTGTTTGTGTGTGTGTGTGTGTGTGTGTGTGTGTGTGCGTGTGTGTGTGTGTGTGTGTGCCTTTTTTCTATGTGTTGGTGCAATCGGGAGGATGAAGTTTTTGTGGGTGTTTTCTTGTATTTTGTTGTTGTTGTTGCTAGGGAGACGTGCATAGGCTGCATACGGTCGTGGGTCTTAGGCTGGGGTTTGCATTAGGGCCAGTTTTAAACTTGGGCAGGATACGGTCGTGGGTCCTAGGTTTGGAGTTTGGTTAGTTCCCTTTGTAAATGTTTTTGGGGTCGTTAAAAAGCGCTCACATGGTATATTATATTTTGGCACCGCGTCTGAACACACAACATGCAAGTCGCTGGAGAGACACGCTGCTGCAAACACAAGTCACACTAGAGAGATTACGCGCGCGGCGCGTTGTAACCCTTGACAACATAGCGAGGGAAGTATGATTTGACGACGCAGCGTCCGAAGCCCGAAAACACACTGGGGAAAGCCCACTCTTATCACCCCCTGAGATAATAAGAAGAACTCCACAGGGGAGCACGTACCACAGGAGTCCACTTATCATCAGTAGAAGATCCATTGTCGACAACTGTTTCGGCCCATTACCTCCTAAACAATTTCAGAGGATGGGCCGCCCTGGGTCATGACGCCAGGCCTTGATATTCTATTTTGAGATTCAAAGTTAAATATATATATATATATATATATATATATTATATATATATATATATATATATATATATATATATATATATATATATATACATATATATATATATATACACGCATATATATATATATATATATATATATATATATATATATGGGTGTGTTGTGTGTGTGTGTGTGTGTCGCTGTGGTAGCGAATGAGACCAGCCGGCTACCTTAACGACCATGTGAGAAGCTTACGACTGGTTTATCAGACACATGTTAGACTTTGGCATTTGGCAGAGGGTCACTGACAGACATCTTTTGGGCACTTTGGCTTTTAAGGGATAAGAAGCTTCGTTTCTCCAGGCACTCGGACCAGTCTACCGAGTCCCATCCCCTACGACGTTTCGTTGCGCCCAGAGCCAGCTGTCTCGTGATCTGTGGAATTCCCGTGCTTGGGCTGGGGGAGATATTGGGAAAGAACCGACAAAAATAAATACTGTAAAGTACTGCAACGATCGCTTACTGCAAATTGCACTGACAATATTCAAGCACATGAACAGCTTTGAATAAAAAAAAAAAAAATGTACATCAAATGGCAAAAATAAATCTAATTTCCTCACACAGCTAACTAAATCACTTACGAATAAAACAGAGCGGATTTGCGACAACACATACCGTATTGACAAGATGGACCGAACCACCCCTTGTCACAGTAGGAAGCCGCAGTACATTCTCCGTTGGCCGATTGTCCTCTGGCGTTACAAGTGTTATTGAAACAGTGGCATCTGTACCGACATTCTGAGGCGAACCAGTCAAACTTGCATGATGGAACTTGTAAAAGAGACACAAAAGAAGTAATGTATATTTCAATGCAGGGTTTAATATTTGGTATATTTGCAGCTAATTTCAACCCACAATGATATATGTTGACGGAGATCGCAAGATCTGGAATGCAGTGATGGCTAACACCAGTGGGCAAGACATAAGGAGACAATATATGTACACACACACATATGCACTTACGCACAAACACACACACACACACATATATTTATCTGCATTTATTGACATCAAGGGTCCCGATATGCCAATATAAACATAAATGTTTCACGGTAAGAGGAACACCAGCTTAGTGTCGATGTAGCTGAAGTAGATACACAACCGAAACTAACTATGGGTCACAGATGTACATCCTGGAAGGCAGTCGAACCTGGTACAAGAAGCTGGTCTGGTTCCTGCCCTACTTTTACTATCGCAACTGGGTCTACTCTAAGAGCTACCAGGACAACTGTATCACAGAGCAGATCCTTGAGGTAGGTCGAGAGGGACTAGATAAAATACTTTTAACCAGCTTTCCGTAAGGGGAGCTTTAGGTTCTGTTGTGTCATTTGTTTGTCTGCGCCAAACTTAATGGTTTACAACCGCTTCCCAGCAAGTGCCATGAAATGGATTCTTGCAATGTTGATACGATTATCTAACCACTGTCCCCACCGGCCATCCAGTTGCCCATTGGCCAGCCAATAGACCACCCAGACGCCGATTGGTCAGGAATGGTTGAATTACAGAAGATAACGCAATTATGGGCGCTGAAACCTAGAGGCTCATGTCCTTCCCACCCCCCCCCCCAACCCCCGTTTCCAGATACAGTTTAAAGTAATTGAACCCCTTCCCCTAGATAATGCATGAGGGCCCCACCGCAAACCGTCATTTTACGACCTATTTTAGAATCATTTATTTAAACAACCTCTGCTCTGCTTATCAACTTTAATGACTGAGAAGAGTGTCATTTGACACAGAAAATCGCTGCGGAATCTTGGAATGATGTCATGATATAGCGATGAACATAATAAACGTTAATGAAACATTGTATGAGGGCCTACATATAGTTTGCAGTGTGCACATTTGCTGGTTTAAGTGATTGGTTTGAAGCCGAAACTAGAGTCCAGCTCTCAGGCATTTTATCTCTGTTGTTAGCTTGCATTAATGTTGACGTCTTCCTGATAATCGCAGTTTAACAAATAATCAATGGTCGAGATGCTTGGCGTTGTTTGGTGTTGCAGTCTTAGATTGTTTGGAATTTTTTTATTCCATCTTTATTTCTACACCTCTCGGTGTTGCTATTTTCATGTTTTATGCACTTGATGTCTGCATAGTTTGAATAATCGCTGTTTAGGTGTCCAAAACATTTTTTTTTCAATAATAATGTTAACGTTAGACATCGTTTCAAAAATTCTGCGAATCCCTAATTTTATGACAATATCTCTTACAGCTTTGCTGGGGGCTTTTCTTTAAAAAAAAAAAACAAAAGCAGAAAACAACAAAACTCATTTCACATCTGGTTTGTTTTCTACTGTGCTATCTGACTAATGTTCAAGTCTGGTACCAGCAACTAATATTGGATTTTAAAGGGGGAGGGGGGAGGGGACGGGGAAGGGAATGCATTTATTATTTGTCTTTATTATTTTTAAAGAGCCCATGTTGGAATTGGCGTATAAATTGACACGAGATTAATTTTACATTCTAAATTATACAATTTTAAAACAAAATCACATAGCTTTATGACAATGGTGTTTCAGGATTATCATGCAGACGTTAACTTTGGAGAACCACTAAAGCATAGTCGGCTCTATGGCTAAGTCGATGCCGGGATGACGGGTTTGATCCTAGCTGCAGGCTATGCGCCTTGCGTTGTTTTCGACAGTGGTATTAAAAAAGCCGACCGTAGAGAAAGCAATGGCACACTTCTGGACGTAAATGTGCCAAGAAAAAAAACACACAACAGACAGGGGCTGTTGGGGTTGGTTCTGCAACGTCCTGTAAAGGATACGCAACTAACTAACTAAAGCACAAAAAGAAAGCAAACGCATTTAAAATCAAATGTATGAAGAAATTTTTGAACATTAAACTAGATAAAGTCAAGAAAGGTAAGGGGATAATAGAAATATCATCAACAGTTTAAAATGAAGTTGATAGAGATCTATTGAACATATGAGGAGAAACGGATCGAGAATTAGCAAACAGGTACTGAAGTGTGAAACAATGGGACCGATGAACCTAACATAAACCATATGGAGAACCATAGTGAGAGAGGCCGAAAGCTTTCGAATGGATCAGTCTATAATATCGAACAGATTGCGCAATATAGACATATATACATATACACATACATTTATGTATAAATATACATACTTACACACATACACACATACATACACACATACATACATACATACATACATACATACATACATACATACATACATACATACATACATACATACATACATACATACATACATACATACATACAACATACATACATACATCATACATACATACATACATACATACATACATACATACATACATACATACATACATACATACATACATACATACATACATACATACATACATACATACATACATACATACATACATAACATACATACATACATACATACATACATACATACATACATACATACATACATACATACATACATACATACATACATACATACATACATACATACATACAACATACATACATACATAACATACATACATACATACATACATACATACATACATACATACATACATACATACATACAGACATACATACATACATACATACATACACATACATACATACATACATACATACATACATACATACATACTACATACATACATACATACATACATACATACATACATACATACATACATACATACATAACATACATACATACATACATACATACATACATACATACATACATACATACCTACATACATACATAACATACATACATACATACATACATACATACATACATACATACATACATACATACATACATACATACATACATACATACATACATACATACATACATACATACATACATACATACATACATACATACAACATACATACATACATACATACATACATACATACATACATACATACATACATACATACATACATACATACATACATACATACATACTACAGATACATACATACTATACATACATACATACATACATACATACATACATACATACCATACATACATACATACATACATACATACATACATACAATACATACTACATACATACATACATACATACATACATACATACATACATACATACATACATACATACATACATACATACATACATACATACATACATACATACATACATACATACATACATACATACATACATACATACATACATACAACACTACATACATACACGACATACATACATACATACATACATACATACATACATACATACATACATACATACATACATACATACATACAACATAATACATACATACATACACATACATACATACATACATACATACATACATACATACATACATACATACATACATACATACATACATACATACATACATACATAACATACATACATACATACATACATAGACATACATACATACATACTACATACATACATACATACATCATACATACATACATACATACATACATACATACTACATACATACATACATACATACATACATACATACATACATACATACATACATACATACATACATACATACATACATACATACATACATACTTCATACACACATATATACAGGCTTTTTCAGAATAATGGGTACTGGTCTGGTAGTCTGGTAGTCCTAGTTTCAGCTTCACAGCAAACGGGTCGCCCCATCTTTGCTCCGCTCCTGTGCCAGCGAAAAACACCCAGAATGTTTATCAGTCCCTTGTGGAAAGATTGACATAATGGGTACACTTTCATTTATGTATATTTCCTTGAATATTCATTGAATGTGAATAACATACATACTAGAACTAAGACGAAGTTCAAAAATTTCAAATACCACAGCCAGAGCGCATATGCGCAACGAACCACTCTAGTGCGCATGTTGCAGTGAAATCAGTTACGCATGAGATGCTTTCTTGTGTGTGGGATGATTTCGGCTACCGCTTAAATATGTATGGTCGAGCAATATTTCTCTAAGTTCGCTTTGCGCTTCTCTACCTCGACGTTTACCACAAGGTGGACTGAGTTGCAGATTGGGATAGCTATGGGCTGTACGATCTCACCCATACTGGTTTGGTCATGGCAAAAAAAATTTGCCCAGGAATCATGTTAGACGGGGCGGCCGGTTACGGGGACAGGGCCTTTCCAAATGGGGACCACTGGATGCCAC